ACACACACACACACACACACACACACACACACACACACACACACACACACACACACACACACTCACATCATGCAATAATTAGAAATACAATAACATGGATGTTTTTTATTGAACATCAAGTTTTATGTTTAAAAAAATTAATAAAAGTACTTATTTTTTGCAGTTGATTTAGTCTTGCAGTTTAACAAATTAATGTTAACTCGACTCATATCCAAATCAAAAGTAAATATGATGTCAAGAAATGTTCTAAAAATCAAGCAAGTTTAAGCTACTCGAAAGGAAATCCCTTTAGAAGACGTACAGATGAATCGGCGTGTTCGGCGCGCAGGTGCTCAGTGATGTCCTGCACTCCTTCCATGGCCAGCCGTGAAGCATGAGATGGAGTGAACTGTGGATGTTCTCCAGCGCTGCTCACTTTAGAGGTTTTTCTGGAGGGTCTCCATTGATCTTGATCATGCAGAGGACAGAACTGGATGCTGCGTGAGCGATAACGCATGCTGGCGTTATCTCGCTCTCCAAAACTGATCTCCACACTGTGTGAGCGAGTCTTCGATCGGCCTGTATTTGTGTACGTTGATGCAAACGAATGCATGAATGCAGGATGCACTTTCATAGGAATGGATAAAGCTGGTTCCTTCTTCTCTTCGTCGTCCCAAACGGAAGCAGCGCTGCTCTTCTTCCTCTTCCGAGGATCAACAGATGTTCTTCGCAAGTTCTTCTGCAACACAGGAGGCTTCTGAATGAAGAGGAACCTCGGCATGATGTCTAAGAAGAACATACGCACCCATTCAGGCATCGAATGGGTTTCTGGTGACCTGTGATGCACATTCAGCACAAACACAGTGATGGTGATGGATAGAGTGACGAATATCATGGTGAAGAGCAGGTATTCGCCAATCAGAGGGATCACCAGAGATGTAGACGGAATGATTTCTGTAATAAGCAAGAGGAAGACGGTGAGCGACAGGAGGACAGAGATGCACATGGTGACTTTCTCTCCGCAGTCAGAAGGGAGGTAGAAGACCAGCACGGTCAGACATGAAATCAGCAGACAGGGAACGATGAGGTTGATGGTGTAGAAGAGCGGAAGTCTCCTGATGATGAAGGAGTAGGTGATGTCGGCGTAGACTTCGGAGCAGCACTCGTATTTCTTGAGGTTGTAGGTGGCCACTGCGCTGCTGATGGCCCACTCGCTGCTCTCCCAGTAATCTGTGCGGTCTGCGCTGTCGCCTGTGCGGATCAGGTCGATCTTCTCGCGGTCGTACGTCCAGGAGCCAAACTTCATGGTGCAGTTCTGCTGGTCGAAGGGGAAGAATGTGACGTCGATGCTGCAGGAGCTCTTGTAGATGGCCGGCGGGATCCAGGTCACTCGTCCGTCGTGGAACAGGTGAGCTTTGGTCAGGTGAGTCACGGTGAAATCACCGTCTGCGCTGCAGAAACACAGCATCGGATCTTCAATCTAGTTTTGCATCCATGCACTCTTAAAAATAAAGGTGCTTCACGATGATGCCATAGAAGAACTTTTTTTTGTCTGAATGGTTCCATAAAGAAGCTTTAACATCTGAAGAACCTTTCTGTTTCACAAAAGCTTCTTTGTGGCGAAAGAAGGTTCTTCAGATCATAAAAAGGTAAGAAAGAGATGCTTCTTTAAAGAACCTTTGACTGAATGCTTCTTTGTGGAACCAAAAATGGTTCTTCTATGGCATCGCTGTGAAGAACCTTTTAAGCAGCTTTATTTTTAAGAGAGCTGAAGCACAAGTTTTGAAGAATATTCACATTTTTCATACAATGAAAGCGAATTGGTGGATTGCAATGTCTTCCAAATAAATATCTTTCAAACACCTCTAAATATGACGTGTCATACTCAAATTCTTGAACAGAGTAATTCCATTCCTAAACTTTTAAAAGAAAAGAAATGGAAAGGAAAGGAAAAAAGAAAACAAAAGAAAAATGAACTGAAATTAAAAATAAAATCATGCTTAAAAATATTCAGTAAATACCAGTGTTATTTTTATTATCATCGATATACTATTATAGTTTTTGTTAATATTTTGAATTAGATTTTATTTTTATGTTTTCACTTTAATATTTTAGTACTAAACGAAAATTAGAATATGTGTGTGTATATATATATATATATATATATATATATAT